TGATTTTACTGTACCATAAGTATTAGAATATGAGAAGCAGATGACATCACAAAAAGTATTACACTACAAGAAGTAAATGTCACTATGAAAAGTTTCTCACATTATTGTAAGGTAAGAAAACTATGTCATTATGAAATTCATTATTAACTTTACTAACTATCTTTCTTACATTACGAAAATGAAAGAAACCCATCGTAGTGTCATTTACTTCTCGCATTGTAATAATTACACTACAATACAGTAAACATTATTTCTTCCATTCCACTAATCATCGTACAATTATTTCTCGTAGTTTAGTACATATCATTGAATAAAAAGTAGTAAATTACGGTATACGATGAGGAATCTTATTATCCCAAGATAAGTACTGGACTACGAGAAATAATTCTATGATATGTAGTGGAACGAAAGAAATAATGTTTATTATATAATAATTATTACAATGCAAGTAAATGACATTACGATATGTTTCTTACATTATCGTAGTGTAAGAAAACTGGCTAATAAAGTTAATAATGAACTTAATAATGACATAGTTTTCTTACCTTACAATGACGTGAGAAACTTTTCGTAATGACATTTGTTTCTCGCAGGGTAATAATTATTGTAGAATACAAAGTATTTCTGTCATTCCGCTACTTATCGTAGAATTATTTCTCACAGGCTAATATTTATCGTGGGATAATAACATGCTTCATTAAGCAGTACACAGAAGGTTTTAACCTAAATAGCAAATTGACGGTTTGAATTACGCACACGATTTTAAAAGTACTTATTATGTGTAGCCACTAGATGGCAGTTCCGTACATTCCCTTGGGTTGGAAAATAGTCGCGCGATGAGAACGAGCCTTGAAGGACTATCCGGCTTTGAATGTGTGTACTCACGAGCGTGGATTTTGCTCGCGTGTAGGTTCGTAGGTGAGGGAGACGACGACGAATGTGATCAAACTAACGTTGTCGAAATTTCAAACCGCTATAACTCCAGAACACCTTCACCTATTGTAATGATTAAGGTCTCAGAAAATAGGAAAAAAATAAACGAAGCGTTTCGTCTAGGTTAAAATGTTCTTCGGTCTTTAGTATGTCGGCACTGACCGAATGAAGAAAATTAAATGCCCGCTGGCAAGATGTTTCGAGTATATAGAGTGGTAGCGGCCATGAACTTGTCTGAGCCGCTACCGCGTCTCTTGATTATTGTAATCGGGGTAGGACACTAGGGAATGTTTCCTTGTAAGTCAGACAACCTATGGAGCCCGTTTATCATCAGGATAATGAAGTGTTATATGGTTAAATGTTTGTAACGTTCAACCCCTGTTTAACAAATTTAATTAAGATCAAATAGTTAGACTTTCTTAAGACACTATTCTATTAATGTATCATATTAAGGTAAACGACGCTTCTGTCACATTGTTTTTTAACAGATATATTTATATAATTCATTCTTATTAATTATTTTAAATGCTATATAAAGGACACAATGTGAAGAAAAGGAAGTTGCAACTGTGAAAATTAATAGACAGGAACAAGGTCCATTAAATGCGTGTATGTATATGCACATATATGCGAACCAATATATATGTGTGTGCGCGCGCGCGCGCGCGCGCGCTGACAGACGGACAGATAGACAGACAGACAGAGAGAAAGAGAGAGGGAGAGAGTCTTTCATTATATACCCAGACAGTATTGGACATTAGTTAATATTTGGAGGATATGTGAAAATGTCCGAAAATTTGTGAATGTCGGTATATTTCCAGAATGTTGGTAAACAGATATTTGTAAATCAGTATTTTGGTAACATTTTTGGAATATTAGAGAATGGGCATGTAAAAAATAATACCAACAAAAAAACTAACCAACATAAAGTAACAAAACTTTAAGTCCTTTAGTAATGTATACTTGAATGAGTAAAAAAAATGAATCCAGTTGAATTTAATATAATTGCCCCTGAAATAGAACATTCATTATGTTCTCATAGAAATTATATTTTTTTACGGACGCTATCAGAATTTGTGACAGGATTTTCTGAAATAAAAAGCCAAATAGTTTCTTAAAATGTATGCGAATGGTTATTATCGTATCATTATCTATTTTTATTGAAAAGAGATATTTTGGCAACTTTTAAAGCACATTTAAAGACTGTTTCAGAAAAACATTTCCTTTTTTACGTTAAAACGAGTGCTAAAAATCGCCAAATTTTCTATCTATTAAGAATGGATAAGCGACAACTGGACAACTGGATATTTTGTAAGAAAATGTTTAGTTTTTGTATTCCGAATGATCCTATCACGAATTCTGATGGCATGGCGTTTGTCAAGAGATATGATTTCAATGGTAACATAATGGATGTTATATATTTCGGGGAAAAATATATTACATCCAACTAGATTAATTTTTTTCATCACTTAAACGTGTATTACCGAAGGACAACGTTCTTTTACCTTATAGTCTTCATTTTTGAAATTGATTTATGAAAGTTATTTAATTTTGAAACGTTTAGACGGAAGAACTACCGAACCCAGTCAAAATGACTAGTTTAAGATGGCGCACAAAAATCGCCTGTAAACCCCAGCAGTAAGGACCTGTAAGTTGAAAACTCGCGCCCCCGTTCGCATTGCATACGATACTGGGCAGATCCGTCTTACACTTTGACGGGGCGGAGCGAATCGCGCAAAAATCCGCCTAGCGAGCGATCCGTCGCGATCCGCCCCGGCATAATGTGCGCGAGCCTTGATAAACCATACGCCACGGTCACGCAAAAGAAAAATATTATTATATGCAGAGAAAAATGTTTAGAAAGTATTAATGAAATATTCATTTCATATCAGCAAGTGACCATTTCAGATATCTTACAAATATTGAATATTTCTTAAATATCCATAGGATATTTAATGCTGTCTGGGTATAAAACAGTGTGTGCATAATCTACTCTATCCTAAGGTTTGTGCCATTGACATAAGGAGCGACTATAATCATATGCTCATGTTCCAAAAATATAAATATTTTCGGAAATCAAATTATACAGTTTTTATTCACTTTTCATAGTTTTGTACTTTTTTTGTGTCGTCAAATCTAAAAACAGCAGGATACTTTCCAAACGCAACACAAAGTGAAAAATGCACTCTACGATATTCTTAGTACAGAAAAAGTTACAGTTAACAATGTGAAAAGTTGTGTACAAATAATGAAGTCCTTGTAATCATTGAGGCCTTCCGTTCATCGCTTAAGGCTGATCTACATTCTTTAATCGTTACAAGGTCGCGTGTTATCTAAATGCTGCAAAAAAAGGTAATATTATTTCCATTGACAAGTTTGCGGTACAAGATTTAATGAAATAAAAAAAAATGGAAATTATTAAAAGGTGTAAAAAATGATTAGTAGTACATTTCTTAGGAATAAAACTTCTTTCTGTGATTAGCACACCTTGTGAAATATCATACACCTTCGTGAGATAAGTTATCATGATTTAATTTTGTTATTAGCAGTTCTACGTTTTCTACGCTTCTACATTTTCAGCTTAAGAAAAAATCGTACTCATAAGGGTTTGAAACTTCTGTTGCTTCCATTTTTGCCACAGTTTATACAGATTTTTAAGGGGATGTGAAAGTGGCATCCGAAAAGTGAATCGTTCAAGAAACTTTTCTATGAACCGAATCAAACTTTACAACGTGAATGTAGAGGCCCTAAGATAGGTCCTGAACCTCATGAAATTTCATTTTTATTAAAAAATGTTGAAAACATCTATAAACAAAGTGAGAAAAAATTGAAATTTAATGGATATCAGGACCTTCCTTATAACTTCCATATTCACTGTCAAGTTTGAAACGATTCGGTACACTCTCAGTTCGGAGAAAAGTGTCATAAAGTGAAACCTCTTCACAACACTTCCACATCACCTTAAGGAGGTATGCAAAAATAAATTGTGCTTTATGTTGCTGGTTTTATAAGATGGTACCAACTCAGTGAATATCAAGTTCTACAAAGAGAATTCAAATAATCTCGAAATCAATCAATTCCAAAGATAAAATATGGCATACCAAATAAAATTAAACCGAAACATATTGCTAAGAGTTTAATTAGATATACACATCAATTATTGGTCTATAGCTAAACATAATTTTATAGTTAAACCTTTTCTTGTCTAATATTGTAAATTTTAGTTAGTTTACTGAAAATAACAAACATTCAAATCAGAAGTGGTCTGGAAGTACCTCAAATACAGCATCTAGATTAACACTAAAATTGCGCATGGATTACGTATTTGTTTCATTGATGGTTCAAAACATCGAGATAAATCGAACGAAGAGTAAGTAAAAAATATCAGTGACATGTGAGTATCGCTAAATTTGAATATCAATCCGCATAATTAATATTATATATTTTTTACAATTATTTCGCATGTCGCCTAGACATCCGTGCAGAATGAATAAAATCTTTTTTGTACAAATTGAAATCACACACTCCTGCTTAAAGTACACAGAGCAAGAAGAGTAACCAAGATGGATGTACTGGAAGATACCAGGAACCCTCAAAGCAATTGTAAAATAATATGAGTAAAGATAATCTTATATAAGTAACCTCTTATTACGTATACATATTATGCCCTTTCTTTTTTTGTTTAATTTTTCTTTTCATCACATTCCCATGCTTACATATAATCAGGCTCTGATAGAGAATGAAGGTTTTTCAGAGTTTTCGACACCATTCATCATTTTTCGTCAAAAATGTTGATTTAAGTCTTTAATTACGTTAATTAATCAACACAGCGAAAGTTGAATTCATCTTATCAACATATCAACATATTCATTTATGTTAACCAATTAACATTCTACTCCCGTAGAGTCGTGTGTGTGTGTGTGTGTATATATATGTGTATGTATACAATGAGGCATAATCGATCTTGAAATTACTCATAGTCCTAATATTTAATTTAGGAACCCTCAATCGTTTATACACATAACAGGGTATATAATAATTCCAATGAATCCATAATTTTTGTTTAATGGTATTCGAATTACAGAGATAAAAATTCTTTTGCACAAAAACTTATCATTATAGTGTACCTAACACATCAGTAAATAGTTAAATGACTGTAGTCTCCGTTTTTGTGGTAATAAAAGATGGCATTTTATAATATTAATTCTTTAAAAAAGAACAACTGTTCCATTATGAAAAAATATAATGTAGAAAAATGAGGTTTTATTCTATCCTAGTAATAATACATACCCTGCATAATAGTATAATCTTGATTTTAGGCCCCCCCTATTAAAACTGCCTAAAAATGTATAGTTAGGACTATGATAATTTTATAGGTAAACAATGGGCTACTAATTATCTATTTAGATCATTCTCGGTACCGACCTTGAATCGCAAAAATGTTATGTGCAAGACTGCTTCTAATTTAAGGGTCTAGTAAAGCCACGTTAACCATATTGAAGATTGACGTCAGAGGCGAGGATATTGCATACAATTTCCAATCGGTACTCTCCGAAGTGAATAACACTTGCTAACAAGAACCATTACTTGTGAACCATTACTTGAGTAGATTTTCCCGAAATTTGTCAGCCGGTCGGTTTATGATGGATCGTGCATTGTCAAACGAGATATCACTCTCCGAAAATACGAAAATTGGCCCGTTGACTAGGTTAGGATTTCGAGGTTACGATTCGACAACGAACACAATTTCAACGCAAATATGGACCAGTTGACACGGTTTACACCTCCACTGTTTATTACGACACCCACATTTTGTCGAAAACGCCAAAATTGTAGCTAAATACCGCTTGAGAATTCAATTCATACGCGTTTTTCTCGCCGCTGACGTCCAAATTCAATATAGCCCGGCCGTAATGGCCGATCTAACTTTACTGGACCCTTAAAATAACACAGTCGGAAGACTATTAAAAAGAAAACAAAAATTATTAGATTGATCATATAGTTACCAAACTCCCATAAAGGATGCATTTATTTTCATATTCACTTTTCTTCAATATCGAGAGTTTATATTTTCGCAAAGTTCTATTCCACCTTCAAACAAGTTTAAAAATTAATAACAACGGAGAGATTTTTTAAATATAGGTGTATATGGAAGAAATGCAAAAGTAATAAGGACGGAACCCATTTAGCACCCAAAAAGTTAATTCGATGTACTTTCTTCAAAGTGCTGTAAAAATTGAAAACTATTATCTTTGTACGAAATAGGTTTTTTTGCAATCCCATAATTTACCATAACAAGATTCATGAAGTAAAATTATTTTAAACGACTTGCCAAGAATTTTAAAAAAGAAATACTCTTACCATGTACTTTGTTTCATGTTCCGATTGTGGAATAATAATCTATTTATTTTACAGACACTGTACAGCGATGAACATGAATGCCTACCCTGAAGACATGGTGGCGCTAATGCATGATAGGAAAGCTTTCATGTCCGCCAGTGTACTACAGAACAGTGAATCCGTGATGAATTGGCCTTCATAAAATTGAAGGGCCATGAAGAAATTCCTTCTTGGTCTGCCTTAGACACCCTTTTGAGATCTTTTACATTTATTTAAGGTAAGTAGTTAACGTAAAACCCAGAATCCGCTTGCATTCATTTCTTTCCAGATAAACGGTCATTTTTACTTTACGAAAAATTGTATTAACAACCCGAAAAATAGAGTATTGTTACAAAACAAGTTTTTACAAAAAAATAACTATTTCCAATAATAAGTAAGATCATATTATTCATTTACACGTCTGCCAATTAAATACACTGTAACTTGGAGCTTCAATTTTGGAGCAATTTTGTCGGCTAAAACTAAGCAATTATATTTCTAATAAGTTAATAATTATGTTTGCAATACATACAAGATAGAAAAACAATTTAAATAAAGCATAATATGAATATTTAATATTAAATTTCCATGCGAATGTCTCCCATTAAAGAATTTGTAATCTTTTGCGTAGAAAATCTTTCATCGCTTAACACTGCAAACTTCTTGATTTCTATACATAGATCAGAAACGTTTAAAATTAAATATCGTCTTTCGCAATGCTTTTTATACAAGAAAAATTAATGTAATATTGTAAAATGTAGAAAATAACAATTCAAATAAAAATGAGGCCAGTGAAGAATTTTCAGGAATTTCTTTCCGTCCAAGATATTAGAATCTATATGCTATCTTAAAGTACTTCAGCAATACTAAAAAGTTCGATTATAATTGATCTTGTTTCCTGTCTCTATAAATTAGATAAAGTAGAGAAATGTGAAGAAACACAAGTTACGTCATGTAGTAATTAACTAACAATACCTAGTTTTTAGAGTAGTTAACACAAATGCATTCCTCAAAGATATTACGCTTTTAAGATTTTCCAAACCCGAATGAATTGTATACCGGCGGCCGTACATAAGCCATATCTTTTTCGTGTAAAAAGCCGAGATCTTGTCGTCGGATCTATTCTTTCATAACGAATATATGTACGTATATTCGTAGAATAAAAGTACGATGTATCAATACCGTTTACTACAAGCCACAATTCTATTACATGTACACAATATGTGACAGTTGTGAACCTAGTAAACGTATCATACAGCCATAGATACACGTTCAGGACTTACTACTAGTAAATATTTGATATTATTCGTTTCGGGATTTGAAGCACACTTGGACTAGTTTTAAGCGAGGCTGGACGTTACATTCCTCACAATAAACCTTTCGATACAGACAGCAACAACAGTCGCTATCGAAGAGAAGTTTGCTCTTACTCTCGGAGTACCATTCGATAACTATTCCTCTCGTTTAATTCTTATGTGTGTAATAGGCATTCTATCAAATCTACTCATTGACCTAAAGTATCTGCTTCACGCCCAAGTCTGCTATACCGAAATCGTTTAACTGTAAATACGACGGTGTTCCATGCAAAAAATATATAATTCCCGTAGTAACGGTTTTCCCGAAATACATGAAAAAGTGTCATTTTTAAATTACAAAGTGAATATACGAACAAAGAAACTAGGATTCATCATATTCATTAACAATTTTTTTACTTATTTATACTGACATCGAAGCTTCGATATGACTTAAAAATAAGAAAGAATTTAAAATCGTTAGTTACACGAACACGCGACTTATGTAAATGAGTTAAATATCACATTACAATCAGGAAATATATATTTTGCATGGTTCATGGTAGAAAACACGTACAAACTGACCGAAGTATTTTGTGTACTTGAAAGAATACTACTTAAAAAAAAATCATGAATTCCTTAGGATTTTCGAATATCAGCCCGCTAATTGAAGCTAATTGGAGCATAAACAAACGCGTCGGTAACGTATCGTTATGTAATAATGTGATGTTGAATTCAATCATTGTACAATAATAATTCCTTCATTTGCTAATCGTTCACGGTGATTCACTTCTTTGATTATACAGTCGCCAGCATGCAATATTTAACTCTAACACGGTTCAGATAAAATACCCAATACAGTGTTATTTGACGGACTCTGGGCAATTCTGCAATGCACTTGTATCCATTGATAATGAGATGAAGGGCCTCTACGATGATTCCGCTGCAAGCTCTGGTGGTACGCTAACCCCCGTCATTGAAGGTTTCAAACCTGGGACGAATTCGGCAGCGTCTGGATTTAACGTGCTCTGAAATTTTAATCATTCTATGATGAACAAAAGTAAAAGAATGTCATCCAATTCATTATTCAATCTTATATTATTTAACACTAAGTCGCCATTACAACGCACATATATGTATTGTATAATGATGGGCCAAATATCCCACGAACCAGACCTTTTAACTATAATTATCATGTTAAAAAGTTCATGATTTTCACCATCGTTAAAATAAAATTCATCTATACCCGTTTTGGTGGTCACGTCTGTAACGTGGCATTTTGGCGCACTCGTCACAAGGCCGATAACTTTGCTATCTTGGGATAATTTTGAGTGGTTCGCTCAGTGGTCAGACCCCGCACCGATGGGAAAGGCTACCTTCACTTTGAGGAAAATTTAGGAATTGTTCTCCAAGATTAATGGCACTTAAGAATCAGTTATCTTTTGCGATTCAGGCGATCCGATTATTAGTTGTCTATTATAAATTAGTTGCGGTCAATATTTAGAATTCGATATAAGTCAGGCTGTTCCTGGGTAATTTGAGAGTATATTGCGTTTTATTTCAAGTTTTTGCTAGAGCCATTGTGTAGGATAGTTATGCGTAATTAGGTTCAAACCGACGAATAAGCGACGGTCGAGAATGTCAATAACAGAGCTGCGAAGAGGACGTCTTCGAGGACCACTGATTATATATTGTTACGCGATTTTTCGCGCACCTTCGTCGGTCCGCGCTCTCGCCTCCCTCCCCGTTCTCCGACTATCCAATGGGCGCCAGTTGATTTTTGGGTCCCCGGAACCAACAAACCGATCTACTCAGAATCGTAATTCGTAAACGCAAAACCTATCACCTAAATTACATCACGAAACGGAGAGAAGGGCGGCGAGAGAGGCAAGTTGTGGAGAGTTAGGGTCGGGGTCGTAACTGATCCAAGGGAGTAGGTGACAAAAGCTACACTTTAGCGAAAAATAAAGAAAAGTTGTATATTCTCATATATTCCCAGAGACTCTAGTACATCATATTTACGCGCTCGTACATCGCGGCCGGAAAAGAGGTCCTTCGGTGATCGTACCTCAGGGTTTCCATAGGACGCGCAGACGTCCGCAATGCTACGAGCCTAGACCAATAGACGCGAGATTGGGATCCCCGGGACTCTGATATCGTGCCTCACTGGAGCAATCGACCGGCACCTCGCCCTCGGTCCTCTTCTTCACACATCCACTCGCGGCACTCACTCGGGTCAGACTCTCCTCTCGAATTCCTCCACAATCCTACGCAACCCGAAATTCCGGACATATATTTCTCCTCCTCGGCGTACTGTTAGGTCGGGGATCGTTTACTCGGGAGCGGTGATGGCGATTACCCGAGGGTGTCGATCGGACCTGGCCTCGTGGGTATGTTCTTAGGGATTCGCTTCCAGATGGTTGAAACCAGCCAAAGACCTCGTCGAGTAAAGTAACGAAGATACTTTATTTTCAATTGCCTCTTGGTTTACAGGAACGATTCGTAGACTCGGTCGACTCAAGGGGACAAGCGTTCGCCGAGAGTCACAGGTGTCTCGCACGCAGGTTTACAGGATCGAGACGGTTCAAACTTAGATAGATCAGAGCGCGAGCCCTTCGGAGCGGGCCTTTTTATACTGGCCTAGGATGTTCTTAGGCGCGGAGGAGGATGCTTATTGGTGGGTTTTTAAGATTGAGGAGGGAAGTGTCTCATGTGATTGGCTTGGGGACAGGTCGAAGGGGAAACAGTTGGAAAGCGTCTTTTCCAGAGATTCTGGATGTTTGACGTTTCCCAGGGCGGTTATCTAGTTTGGGGTGCGGAAGTACTCGGATAAACAGAGGGTAGATAGGGACGAGGGAGAGCATGTCTCCAAGAGCGCTTTGGAGCACGAACGCGTCGCTTAATCTTTTCCTTAATATTACTTAGAATAAAACGTTAGGTAGGGACCTAACATCCCTCCCCCCTTAGAGGAAGAGAGCT